CATATGACATGCATTAACATAATAACGCTTCAGCTAATAATAATTTGAAGTTTAGGAACCGAAACTTGAAAAATAACCAATCAAAATAAAGCGTTATTAAAATTAAATAATTGTGAACCTATGCTTTAATCCTGGACATGTTGCTTTTTTCTTCTATCTTGATCTCCTTTACTACATTTTTTTCTTGATTGAAACGAAATTAATTGTTATAAAAACATAGAAAAGGTAAAAATGGGATTGAAAATGGGCGTACAAATTGAGCCCTTTGAACTCTGTAATTCAAATTAAAAAGATGCTTCTCAAGAATAAAGAAATATTTTTTTACTAACACCTTTATTTCGCTAAGTTTCCTCAGTCACCATTGTTCGGAGGTCATGAGACCCTCGGACCCGTCCACTCCCGGGGTGCTCTCCCGGGAGTGGACTTGGGGCGGAACTGAACTAAATCGCACTGTCATTTGAATGGTGCTCAAAGCTGTTGCCAACGGCAGGCATAATCTAGCGCTTCTTGCCACGAGGAATTTCGTGGGCTTAGGCTGATTACGTCAGACAAGTGAGCATAAGCAACAACAACAACAAAAGTAAAAAGAAGATAAAGATGTTCAGTAGAATAATTAGCACAAATAAACTTTGGATCTTAGTTTAAGATAATGATAATATTCGATAGAGCTCCAACAAAACTGCAATCAACGATAAAAATTTCTGCTTATTTTGACTGATTATTGCATTGAATATATTTGCTGTTTTATCATTTGTAAAAATATATAGCTCAGTCAAAATTTTTTGATGACAAGCATTAACCCTGCATATTCCATTACACAATTTTTTAAAGGATAATAGCATTAACTGATAATTTAACTAAAATGATAATAAGCCATTCAGTTCACCTATAGGTGGCGCTTTCACACATCACAGTGGCGGATAAAGGATGATATGGTGATCTGACCTTATGCCTTCGAAAATGGCGTTGCTAAACTTTTGATTTCATTTAAGGTGTAAATTCTTGCTGTATTACTGAAGCAGAAAGAATTTTAAAAGCCAGTCATTTAGTCATGCATGGAAATTTACGTGGAAAATGGAATTTAGAAATTTTAGATTCGTATTTAATTCGAAATTTTAGATTCGTATTTACGTTGTGTAGCGTCCGCACCGCATGAAATCGAAGGATATTTTGCTGCTGGAAAAGGTGAACTAAAAAAAGAATCTTGTTCATGTAAAGGAGGGGCTGCTAGCTTGTTGCAAGCATTGTATCTCTGTTTTATTGTATTGCAACATATAGTTGAGCTTAAAATTTTATTTTTACTGATTTAAACAAATGATTTCATATGTATTTGATATTTTTAACTTGGGATTTCAAGAAAAATCCTTGCAATCAAAAGTGTCTTATTTTTTTATAAAAATTACATTGAACTGACATATATTAAAAATTAATTGAATTAAATTATATTGAATCCATGAAAGCATATCCCATTTTCAAGCAAAACATTAGCATTTAAAAATAAAATATCAACTCGGTCAATTTAAGCACTGCTCTATCTTTTTAACCAGTTTTGCTTCTCTAACGCAGTTTTCATTAATAGCTTTATATCTGAATGAAAAATTCAAAAATAGATTTTACTAAGCCTTTAAATTAACTACATTATATGAACTTCAACTTTCATTCATAGAATAGTTCAACATGAAAACACTAGTTCAATTCCAATCCAAACATTCGAACTAAATTTTTCGAAACATAGGAAATGCAAATTTTAGGCTATTTATGATAATAAATAATAAATATAATAGAATAACCTACTTTAAAAACATTTTATTACTTTTTCTTTTTCTTTTTCTGAGACACCTTCATATAGAAAGACACCTACATTTTCCAGACCATTCCTTCCATTGCAGACCGTTTCTGAGACACCTGCATTTTTCATACTACAGCCTACTGCTTACTAAGGCTGTCTCAATCTGTCTACACCATCTAATAAGCCATTCAGTTCACCTATAGGTGGCGCTTTCACACATTACAGTGGCGGATAAAGGATGATATGGTGATCTGACCTTATGCCTTCGAAAATGGAGTTGCTAAGCTTTTGATTTCATTCCTTTAATATCCTTTGATATTGCGTATATATGAAGCATTTAGCACAACTGAGCTTCAAGAATCACAATCTTTATTTTTACGCATACCAAATCATGCTTTTGCTGACAAGGTATTTTCAAGTACACGTATGGCAATACGCCTTCGAAAATGGCGTTGCTAAGCTTTTGATTTCATTCCTTTGATATCCTTTGATATTGCGTATATATGAAGCATTTAGCACAACTGAGCTTCAAGAATCACAATCTTTATTTTTACGCATACCAAATCATGCTTTTGCTGACAAGGTATTTTCAAGTACACGTATGGCAATACTCCTTCAGTCTTCCCTATGTATGGTATTAATGTCATCCTCAGCAGCATCAAGCCGCCTAATTGTTGGCCTTCCTCGCTTTCTAGATCTCATAGGTTTAATAAATGTGTGTTGTTTTACTGGGTTTATGTCTTCAGTTCTATATAAATGACCCAACCATCGAATCATGTTGCTTTTTATGACCTTGACAATATCAGGTTGTGTAAAGTTTTGGTATTTTATTACTAACATTTGCTTAAAAAAGAACACTGCTATCAAAGGTAAAAAAAAAAAATATTAAATTTAACTGTACGCGATAGGTAATACTGGTAAATATATCTTTCTGTAGGAAATACTTTGTTGGAGATTATTTTGTAATATAAAAGATTATATACTTGTAATACTTTTTATACTATTATTCATAGCAGATAATCTTAGTTATTTACTGAACCTGAAAAGTTGTTTATGTAAAATATCCTCAACCACTGCAAACTGTTCCAAATAGTTTAAGAGAAAATGACTGATACATGGAAATTTTAACATTACTAAAATTTAAAATTCGGAACTCATTATTAATGTTGAAAAACTTAATACTTATACTGACGTGTTTCATATTAAAAATTTTCATTTAAATCATTGCTTACATTAACTGAAGCAGAATGTAAATTTCTGCAGATAAATATACATAAAAGCCTAATGTATATTGTACGTACTAATAATACTCTTGCTGCACTATCCGCGATTTCCACTATTGACATAGAAGTAGAAAAATTTTAGGCAACCTGCGATTTCCGCGGGAATGCATTTTTTTTTTCCTATTTAACTGTGCAACCTGCTCTTTTTCCGTTCATGGTTTCATTTAGGCTTTTCTGTGATGTTTAATTCTTTATTCAGATCTGTGGGATAACAGATGGTGTTAGTTGTCCGTATTTCTCCGAAATATACAAATGCCTTGAGTCATTTTGCGTGCTCTTTTCAAAGCTAAAAAATATCTGGCAGGAAGCGTTTCGCGAGTGACGTAACCTTTATTCCTGAGAATATTAACGACACTTATAGCCATTCTGAATCTTACTTCAAGTATATTGAAGATACTTATAGCGAAACTGATGAGAATTTCTTGGATTCCTCTGCAGATAGTGATGAATCTGAAGATTCATTTATGTTTAAAACGTTCGACAGTGATGCAAAATTGATATGCAAAATATTCCACCAGCTCTTTTATTTCTTTTTCTTGACAATCACTGTGGAATACTTATATCCTTTATAAAAAGAATAACCCACTGCAAAATATAACCCTTCTAGAAATCCGTTTGCAAATTATTGAGCTTAGTATTTAGAAGTATTCAGATGGAAATTCCAGTGCTTACCCTGGCAGATGTAGTTCAACTCTGAAATCCATGAGACTAACTGCTCGACATTTTGTTAGCCATACACCCTACAATTTCATCAAGAAAGAGATGAACCTACAATTTCATCAAGAAAAGAGTAGACATTGTGCTGTTTGTTGCTAAAAAAACTGGAAGTGGCAAAAAAATTCGCAAAGAAACGTGGGATATTGTTCGGAGAACAGCTTTGGTTGCGCCAACTTGGCGCAGATAAGGGCGACATTTCACAGTGGCGTAGCGAGGGGGGGCAAGGGGGTGTATGATGCAGCTTGCAGAGGGGCGCTAAATGGTCTCCAAACAAGATTTTCATCATATCACTTTTTTTTTTTTTTCGAGGGGAGGTGCGCCAAAAAGGCATTTTGCTAGGAAGAAAAGGAAAATATATGGGGAAAAGCGGTATTGCCTCGAGTCTTGTTTCGAAGTTTATCATACTATGATAACTTCCAAACTTCATTTCTAATAAATGTTTTGTAAGGTATTTTGCATATTTCATTAGTGTACACATTTTACATCTGTATTTCATAAAATAAATCCTAATTTAACAAAGTTAATTTTCAAAATTTTGCTTTTATACGGTTATTCTTGAATTTCAATTTTCCAACATCCTTTTTATATGATCTAATTCTATAGCGAGAAAAACACCTCCTTCACAAAATTTTTTTGTATATTTTAACTCTAAAGTATATGTAGATATGAAATATGTAATAAAAAATTACGCAGTGTTTGAGCTTATTTTGATAAAAAAATTCCGCAGCGAGAGGGTTAAGAGAGGAATGAGTCACGATGATTTATACTTCAGTGAACAAATATGTATGTAAATATGAACAACTCATGAATCAGCTTCTTTCTTCTACTTACAAAAACATTAATTTCATATAATTTTTATCTTATTTTAACCTAGGATAACGATGGAAGCATTAGTCAGGTTCCATGCAAGCTCGTGAACTACAATGTGGTACGCAACAAAACGTGTGATCTGTACTTCTTTTAAAGTTATGCATAATTCCCACAACAATCAACACTAAACGTTTAATTACTTTTCGATCATAACGTGCTTTGATATACAGAATAATAATTTTAATATAACATAATATTGACAGATAGAATCCGTTCCTTATGCTTCCACTTTTCTGCCACTAGATAGCGTGTCAGAGCAGTAACTTAACTTCATCTGATGTTTACTACTTGAATATAATGTAACAATTTTTTAATCAAAGATGGCATCAGTGTAAAAAAAAGACTTCTAGTCTGCTGTTTGTTTCGATATGATATTTGCATGTATCTTTTATTTATAGGAAAACAATCATTTTAATACAGTCTAAAAAAAAGTTTCTGATCGTAATGCATGAGAAGCTAAACATGTTAACACCATAATATTACATTTAATGTAAGATATTACCGGCCTTCTTAAATTGGTTTTTAATCAACATGGCGGCCTCCGATGTGCAACAAACACCTGACATCTCTTGTATACTTACCAAAAATATTTCCCGTATAAATTCAGGAAACATGCGTTGTGGACCACATTGTAAAGCTGGTGAAATCAGTGAAGATGTTTTACGTGCTGAATTTCATGAAATGTTCCGTCAGTATTCAGATCAAAAGTAAGAAAAAATTTGAAAATGAATTTATCGTGGCGCCAATTTGGAAACTTTTCTTTAATCCTGTGTTTCGTTAGCTGTGTGTTAGATGACCTGTTTGACTTTGAAATCATCATATTTGTTTTTGCAATCTGCATGCTTTAATAACTTGATTGCAGTTTATGTGTGTACATTTTAACATAGACGATTAAATTTTTTACTAGTGCAAGATGAAATGCAAAATTGAAATGTAAATTAGCATAAAATTGAGTATAGGATGCTAATACATTAATTTGTCTCTTCTCTTTTAAAGCTGTTTAGAGAGAAATGCTAATAATCGGCTTTGTTAACGCAGTTTTGTTAAAAAATACTAACAGTAAGAATTGGTATTAACTTTAAAAAATGAACGAAAAAACTGTATTTTTAGGTGTAAAACAGATTTTATCTGTAAAATATCCAAAAAACGTTATTAAGTAATCACGATATTACTGATACATTCTCGGTATTCACATGTGAAGTGGAGTTCGTGTGATCTTTGTTAAATGATTCTGATTAAAGTGATATGTAATATTATTGACAATTGTTATGGTTATTATTAGTAATGATGTTCTTACCTAATTCAACTATTTTTATTTTTCATTATTTTTCTTGTATATAACAGGGGGGGGACTCTTGATACTTGATTATTATTTTTAATATTGGAGGTGCTCTACATTAATAAATCTTGATTCAAATGCTGGTTAAGCATTTTAAAACTCAGCTTTTCTATATCGCTGAAAAATGAAAATATAATTTGCTTTAAATAGTCTTACTTGCAGATTTTAAATGATTTTCCTTATAAATATATTTTTAAATTGTTTTATTGTAAAATTATTATTAGTATTATTAAGTATTAAAAAGTCTAAAAAATGTATGACATAGTTTCAAATAAAATTGCTTATTTTTACATTTGGTATTAGCAAATATTCAGTCATAAGTTTTATTTAAAAAAAATATTTCTTTGTTAAAGCAGCCATCACATTTAGTTGCCAAAATTGGAGAACTTACTCTGTGATGTTCAAATTTTAAATGTTACTGAAGTGTTCTGGGGTGGCTGCTTAACAAGGAAGTAACAGTTTTTTTAAAAAACTAAATGTGCCTAAAACATATTATCCAAATAGTTCTTAAGACAAGATATAAAAGTAACAATATGGGTGCCTTTCTGTCTTCTAAATAGAAGTATTGTGTTAGCTCAGTAATCCTGCATCTTTTTAAGATTTATTTTATGTGTTTTAATTTTTTTCCTCTACTTCACCTCTAGAATTTACATAAAATTGAAAGAGAAGATTCATGATTAACTTGCTCTGAGCACTAGCTTAACAAATTCATTGAATTTATATTGAACTTGACATGTAGGAATCTACCAGAAATCAAAGAAAAAAAATCATGGCTGGACAGCTACTATAATAATCCTAGTAGTAACTACGATAAATATAATACTCAGCTGTCAATTTGCTGTCAAATTTACATAGCTGCACACTAAAGTTCCCAATCTGAGGCAAGATACAAATAGCATAGGAGTCTAAAAAAATTTGTCTATCCTCTCAGATTTGATGTTAACAGAAATCTTGTAGGGGGAAAAAAAAAAAAAAAAAAAAAAGAGCTTATATTATATGTAGTTTAATAAAAAAAAAAAAAAAAAAAAAAAAAAAAACTACATTCAAAGTTTGAAACTGTAATGTAAACTTCTTATTTGGTTTAATCTTAGAGTTTATCTGAGTCAGAGAATTTTAATAAAATCATTTTGAACTCATTTTCTCAATGCTTTGCTGCATTTTGATTGCACATTGCATAAAAATGTCATAAGAAATTATGTTCTTGATAGAGTCTGGGAACCTTTATTTTTATAGATTTTACGTATTTTAATTGGCTAAGTTTTTTCAAATAAATAAATAAATAAAAAAAGATAGACCAATTAAGTATGTCAGTATGTGGTAATTGTATATTCATGATTTTTTTCTATTTTTCCCGTTATGAATATCATAGCACCAGTTCTTCATTCAGTTTAAGATGAAGTGTGTTGATGAAATTTTGTCTTTCCTGTTATGATTATCATTGCACTAGTTCATGCAGTTGAAGATGAAGTGTGTTGATGAAATTTTTGAGAGAGATTGGTTTATTGAATTAGAAATTTTTCTTTCATGTAGGAAAAAAATTGAACCCAAGAAAATCAAGAAGAAATCAAAATCCAAAACTAAAGATAAGCATAAATCAAAGGTATGATAAATTTGTTTTTATTATCTAATACATCTGCACATATTAAAATATATGGTGATTAAAAATTTTTTTTTTAAAGCTTTGAATTTTTTCTCTTTCCTCAAAATATATGAAATGAAATCATGTCTATCATGATTGTTTGAGTATTAAAAAAGTTTCATTTGAATTTTGTTCATTGTTCTCAATACTAAAATGCAGATTTCTTATTTGGATAAAAAAGAAATTAGTTTTTATTTATAATTTTTAATTAAAATAATTTTATAAAAATTTTATTTCATACTTAATTTGGCATAAATTACTAATAGTAACTTGGAAATAAAGTTAAAAAATGTTTCTAATTCTAAGCAATAAAATCAGCTTTTTAATGAAAACTTTTCAAATTTTTTCTGAGGATTATTAAATACATGTTAATTTTTTAAACATTTTATTATTTCAGTTACTTCTAAGGATAAAATATTATTAAATTCTATCAAATTTTTATCCTGAAAATTTTTCTAAGAATTGTCTGAAAGTTGTTTTTCCCAAATTTTAAACTAGATAAAAATTTTAAAGACTCAATTTTCAGTTTAGACCGGAATATTATCATAGTGTAGATAAAGCAAAGTATAGCAGTCTCTTACTTTATAAATGTCAAGTGAAATAATATTAGTCAAATATAGAAATATGAATTGAGTATTATAGTTCATCCAACTGGTGGTAGGATCATATTTTATATTTATAATTATCTTTAATAATTTATATAAAATTTAAAAGAATTGAAGTTCACTTCAGAATCTTCAGAAGTGTAACGAATCTGAAGGTATGCTGGTTCATATACTCATTATCAGTAATTGAAGGGGCCATTAAAAGAGAGGAATATGGTCATGTTTTACTGATTCAAAGCTTTTCACATAATAAGGCAGCATATGGTATCTTTTGCTGTATTTGGAAGCTGCTGTCATACTATTCCTTGGAAAAAAAGGCTAAATAAAATCTTTTATTGATGATGCTTGGCCGTTGTTTAAAGATAATGCTTATAATTATATTAAAGTGCATTCAAAATATGCATTTAATTAACGGGATAGATAATTCTAACTTGTCTTGCATTGTGAACAATTTAGAAACATTGGTGGCCTACTCATCAAGAACAAATCTGTATTTTAATTATATTAATTATTCTGTATAATGATTCTTATGTATTGCATATATAATCATAGTGAATTATATTAATGTGGAAGAGAATAAAATATTTGAAGTACTGTTTCTGCTGTGTATTGAATAGAACTAAAAATTCATTAAATTTAATCATTTTAAGTAGTCATAAATTTTACTCCTTTTTTTAAAGCAAATACAGTACAAAGTCTGTAATCTGGACTCGCCGGGATTTTGGTGATTCCGGATTAGGGTTTTTTCCAGATTATAGATCATCAATTTAAATCTGGTAAGATGGCATGCAGAAATTATACAATTAAAAATATGAAACTGTAATTTATGAAATAAAGAGCAATTATGATCTAAAGGCTATCAAATTTTACAAAAAAAAAAAAGCTTAATATTTATTTGTTTACTTTATTAAACATTTCTTTCAATGCACGCATGCGTAAAGCATATATTACGCGCATGCGTAAAGTTGGTGGCTTTGAGGTCCGGATTATAGATCATTCCGGATAATGGACGTCTGGACTGACTTTGTACTGTACTAGGTAACTCATTTAATATTAAAAATATCTTTTCTCTTAGAAAATTTTACAGTGGTATAATTATTATATCTTCATAAATAACTGGATATTAACAACTATGTAGAAAATTTATGTTGTGTGTCAGTCATGAGATTTTATGTGTGAAACTTTTTGTGCAAAATGTGTATTATGACCTTCTTAACTGTTCTCTGTGTACATATTCTTTATATCTAACTTCAAAATACCTTATTTTTAAGTTTTTGGGTAAGCCTGCTTTTCATACTTAAACTCTTCTCTTCTTCCTTTAAATATAAAACTAGAGTCATTTTGTAAATCTATTTTTACTTTTAGAGTGTATTTGATAAGAGAAATAATAAACAAGAAAGAAACTTTATAGTTTATGAAAATGAAAAAAACGGTTCTAGTATTTCGTTTTGAGGACCGTAAAAAAATTGCATCAAAAACGTATGCGCAAAAGCGTCAAATCTAGCAAACGCGCCAAATTTAGCGTATGCGCTGATTTCAGATTGCGTAAGTTTATATGGTTCTATATTTCTTAAGATGCCATTGAAATACTAGTTTAATTTTTAAATCCTTTTTTGATTTAAAATTCTTTTTTGATATCCTATTGATTTAAAAATTTGGGAATTGCTCATGACGAAATGTGTGCAATAGAATGTTGGGTAAAGTGCAGACTCACGCGTTCTTAAGAATTGCACATACTCGGTATCCATGTGCACATCGACCCTTTTTCACTTAAAAAAAAATCCTACAATTGCACAAAAATGGCACTGCGCACACCCTTGACTTTATTTATGTACACATCGACTTATTTTCACTTAAAAAGTAAAAGAAAATTAACAAAAATCCAATTGTTTTTATACTTGTAAAAAGCGGCAAACAAATAAGTTGGCGATTCTGCACTTTACCGAGAATTTTTTTAAAGAAAAGGCATCATTTATTATAGAAAATTGTGTTTGAACAACCAACGAGATGAAACTATGCTTTAGCGATAACTTGGTAGCGAAATAGCGATGCAGGCATCCATTCAATTATGTTTAGCAATTTTTATATACTGAATTATAATAATGATCTGAATAGTTATTTACTCTTATGCTTCCATTCAGTCATGTTTAGCTTTTTTTATATAAATTATAATAATAAAAAAAGTATTATATGAAATTAACCTTTGATCTAAATTAAAACCATCCATCTTAGATAGTTATTTACTATTATACTTCCTTTCTTACATTAGGGTTGCCGCAATTATATTTGGCAGCACTGGCATCAACAATAGTTTGGCGATTTTTTATGGCCCTCAAAACTGAATAGTACCAAAAAACATATTTAGAGAAAAATGTGAAGAAAGGAATAATTAATATTGGTAAAAAGAAATTAAACTAATTCATGCTACAGATGCTCCCTACCTTACGAAAGATTTCTATTCTGAATGTCTGTTTGTACCATGAATTTTTCGTAAAATATTGGTAGGTTAGCTACACTTATCACCTAACAGTATTTGCGAGATAAAAACTACAAATACTATCAGATAAATAGTTACGAAACGAATAAATAATACATTTTAAATAAAAGGTTATAAATAGATAAAGAATTACCTTATGTACATTACATACCTTGGTACCTTCCTGGATAACACGTTTATTCATATCTGGAAATCTTCCTAAAGTGAGAAGTGTCTGTATATGTAAATATAATTTTTCATGTAAGAAATAATTATTTCCCCATGTGAAAGAATTCTTATGCAAATTGTATGAGCTAATATTTTTCTTTCTCTTTGAAAGGGAGATTCTGCTGAATTATCAGCACTTCAGCCTCCTTTCTTAGCCGTTCGAAGTAATCCTTCTTCTTTTGTTGTATTTGCAATTGTACGGCTATGTGTTTTAGAAAAACAAACATGTGAAGCTACTCGTTTGTACCTTAAAAGCATAACATCAAGCTTAACAGATTCTGAATCTGATGATGATGATGATAACAGTAATGAAGGTTCTAGAGTTCCAAAGGTAGGTACCAATATTTTTTGAATTTAATATTTGACTTTAAGAAAACATATTTAATTTTTTTAAATGTATTTTTCTATCAAAAACTATTGCTTAGAATTTTTTTTTTTTTTTTAATGATTTAAAACTTTGTTAGTGTTTGGTATAAAAGTAATTAGCTGTCATAACAGTGCTTATATGAAGTTCAACTTTAAAAGGAGCCTCTCAAACTAAAAGAAAATTGCAAAGAAATAAAAAAAATGAAATATAAGTATTTTTTTGCCTACAATATTAATATGCATAAATTTTGGCTTTTATCTTAAAGGGAGATTTTTTAATATCCTGAAATTAAAGAGTTGAATACTGTGCAATCTCATGGTACCAGAGACCAGTTTACGGGGCTCTACAAATTGCTGTTGCAAAGAGCCTCTAAATGTTTTTTAATGGTTGTTAAATGCAACCCATATCCTTAGATGAGATGGGACCCTACTTCATAAACCCTGCCCTAATTAAAAAATATCGTTGAAAGTATAATCTCAAGTCAAATTGCTTAATAGACTAATTTGGCATAATATTTAAAGGATAAGTTTTACATAATGTGACACAGTAAGATGTGCTCAATGTATAATTGTTTTGCCATTTTAAGACTGCTGTATAAGATTTGATTAGAAAGTAGCATTTGAAAAAAGTACAAGGTTTTTAAATTGCCATCTTGTTTGAATTCTGAAATAGGGCTAAGTTTATTTTTGATCTTGACCTGCTATTTTTTGGCTGTGTAATTTGTAATATGATTTCTATGCAATAAATATTTCTGAATTTTAGATTGTTGGTATTGGCCTTTGTGGAGTATTCGAATTGATTAAAGAAAGTCAAAAAAACCATCCACATTTTTGCATGAGAGCACTTCAAGCATTATTAGATATGCTACAAGGTCAGCAGCCTGAAGGATTGAAAGGGGAACCTCCTGATGTTATTGGTAATATTTTCTACTTTCTATTATATGTATGTGATTAACATTATGACTGGAATAAAAATAATTTAATAAAAAAACTGAATGATTATGAGATACCATATTGCATTTTTATTAACTTATTTTTTGTTTTAAAATCTGAAACAAGTAGAGCTTTTGCTAATAATTATAATTTTCTTATAATTTTCATTTAATCTTAAGGTATTTTTAGAGCAATTAATGTTCCTTATTTATTGCTATTATTTAAATTATTTGTAAAATTATTTTCTTTTCTTTAGTTCTGGAATAAGTTGATTTTATTACAAAATCCATGGAAAATTTCTTTAACTATGTTTAGAAATGTCATGCATTTTATGTATCTAAAACATGTTTATTGAAATGAATACAACATTTATTTTGAATACAAAAATCAATATCTGATATGTTATTATGAATGAAATTTTATATAAAATTTTTGTGTTGTATAATAATTGAGCTATTAAAAGTATTATATTTTGATACTAGTCTTAAATTTTGTGCAGCTGATATGTGTATATGTATATTTTTTAAGATTAATTTATTGTTTTAAATTTTATGTGCATATAGATATGTAATACAAAAAATATTAAATTACCTTTATAATTTAATTTAGTAATAGCTTCTTCATTCCTCATTTTTAATTTGGGTATTGTCTCTCTGTATTATAAAAATAATAACTTTTCTGGACTGCATAATTTCTGGATCAGTCTGTGTCACATCTTGTGTAATGCTGATGACGTAGCTAATTTGGAACCTGAACTCAAAATTGCAAGAACTGAAACTTTTCTCTTAATAAGCAACGTAAGCCAAAACCTTCTCTTCATTACATTCCATGTTGGATAATTTCACTGTTTACATGTCTTTTTCGGCACATGTATTGGGTCTGGGAAAATGTTCATGTGACAATTTCCCCAATAAATGGTGTCAATGGCAAATAACTGAGGAAACATAGATTGCAGTGACACCAATAAATGCTTGCTGGAAAGGTGATTCATCAAGTATTATTATAAGTGAATAAACATTGAGCATGGTACAGTGGGTGGAAAGTTGTCCTGCGTTTGACAATGGAGAAAAGTAAGTAACAACTGCACTTTATTTTGCAATATTATTACAACAAAAGGAAGAACGCTGCGCAGGCTTGTAAAAAAATGTTTGCTCTGTAAGGTGAAGGTACCTTATCAAAATCTTGTGTGCGGAAATGGTTCGCTCGCTTTCATTCTAGTAATTTTGATGTAAAAGATGAGTCACTCTCTGGTTGTCCAATCACTGAAAAGGTTGATGAAATTCTTGCAAAAGTCCAGCAAGATAAGCACATCAGCATTGGTATGGAGATGGACTTTGAGCCATTTACACAAAGCATGCTACAAAAAGAAGCTCAACGTTGTTGTCACTGGAGTTTTAGCAAAAGCATATTTTGCCTTTCTTAAATAAAAATAAGAACTAGACTGAAACAATGATTTTTATGTTAAAATCAAAGAGAAAAGAAAAAACACCGAATCTGATCATGTTCATGCTTCCGGCATATAAATACACAGCATTTGCCAATCTGCCAATACTGCATTATTCATCAATCAGCGGCAATACGTTATTTATTACCGACTCACCTCTGATCTAATTTCCGTAAGGAAAAATCAAATGCTGAACATCCAAGTCAACAATGGCCCTCTTTTCTTCATCCCCCCAAAAAAGCCTTACATAAAATTTTAAAAATGCATACTTCAGTATGAACATTATACTTATTGTTCTTAAGTACTGTAAACAGTTCATAGCAGATACAGCTTTTGTAAATAAGTCTGCATTATTTAATTTGGTGGAGATGAAATCGAGGTCAAACACGAATCTTCTAATACTATAGTGATATCATATGTAAATGTGCTCAGTCCAACGGTTTTTTATTGGTAACCTAAAAAAAATCAATAGCAGATTTATTATCACAAAATAGTTTGCATTCTTTCGAACTGAACTTTAAGATTTCATCTTGTAAGACATTTTTCATGCACATAAATTCCTTTGCTGCTTCCGATAAGGCCTCCATGCTGAATAAACATACACATTTCTGTTTAAAAGTTTGGCTAATCTTTAGAATATGGTAACAGGTAGTTTGGTGACATTTTGGTAAGGCGATAAAGGTTACTAGCTAGGACTTTAGCAATAATCTGAGAAGTACACAGTTCGAATCACAGATTATTTTGTCTCAGAGAAATGAGAGATCATGAGACATGTAACAGGGTTCGTAGCAGTCCTTACAAGTGCTTATAAGTCCTTATATTTGAAAATAAAATATAAAGGCCCTTATAGGTGCTTACTTTTTCTTTAAAGCCCTTATGTTTTTGTTTTTAGTGCTTATTTTTTGCTTTTAGTGCTTTTTTTTAATCCTTTTTTTTTAATGAACGCGCATATTTTTTCCCGTACCAAAGCCGAAACTAAATAAACAACTTTTCTTCCTTATATGCAACGTCAGATGGTAAATCATACTCCCAGAAATTGCTTTCCCCCCTTTCTGTGCATTGACGTAACCTATGGTACGCGTGAGAGTACAGACAGGTGCACGTCGTTCTATTGGTCAAAGAATTGCGAAAACAGTAGAAAATTCCGGTACATTTGGTATTCTTTTCCTCCCACCCAAATACTACACACATTTGAATTTCTATCAAGATTTTAATAATTTGCATTCTCGTTCCGCGTGGTCATCAGTTCGTATTCATGTTTATTATGATCGTTATGCTTATATTATGAGCATATGCATGAATATTTATAATAATATAGTTGCAGTAACTGGTGAAGTATAGGTAAACTTCCAAAAAATGGGTGTGTTTTTACACAGATTAGCTTTCTAAGGAATAATATTCGGAATGGCTTAAATAAAAGGAAAATAATTGAATAGTCAAAATAATTTTTTTTTTTCCTGCCAATAATTTATACAGTACGGAGGTTGGGAGGTTTTCCCCTTTCTCCGCAAAATCTCTAATATTGAAGCATCAGACTTTTTTTGTGTCACTTTCCAATCTGGATTGAATAGGACTAATGATTGAATAATCTGGATTGAATAGTTCTCACTTTTGCGGTCTACCCAACCCGAGCGAAGATTGATTCTATTCCCGAAATTTAACGCAGTCTGTTGAAAATTAGAATCAGAGACACCCCAGATTAGTAAGTCTCTTTCTTTTCCTTTATTTAGTTCTTTATTCTCCGGATACTGGCAGCTGTTGATTCCGATTATGTAATATCACATGTGGAAGAATTAGCCGCACGTATTGTGCAATAATGTTTGTGGTATTTTGCAGAGATAATTAATTTTGACGTTCAGTCTAAGATTTGTTTATGAACACTTAAAAGAGTTTTACTGTGCTTTCTAAGCAGCATATTTCTCAGATCCGTTGGTCTATTTTTATATGATGCACATATCGAAATGTCAAAATCATTTATTTAGCCGAGAAATCTAAAGAACGGCTACAATCTCTCCCACTCCTCTTTTTTTGGTTACTATCCAGAATATTCAGCATTTTCTGAGTAAGCGAGTTAGCTCAGCTTTTACTGTTAAAGGATGACTGCATGAAGCAATTTCCCTTCTTCTGATTTCAGAAATGTGCCTTTTTTTTTACTTAAATTACTTTGCTTAGAATATATGTTAAGGGAAAATTGTTATGCAATAAAAATTTAGAAAATGTTCAGAATTTTGATTTAAGTTAAATTATTTAAATACAGTCAAAAGTCTTTAATCCGGACTCGTCGGGACTTCGGTGATTCCGGATTATCGATTTTTCCGGATTATAGATCATCAGTTTAAATCTGGTAAGATGGCATGCAGAAATTATAAAATTAAAAATATAAACCCATAATTTATAAAATAATGAGCAATTATGATCTAAAGGGTATCAAAATTTACAAAAAAAAAAAGCTTAATATTTATTTGTTTACTTTATTAAACATTTTTTTCAATGCGCGCATGCGTAAAGCATACATTATGCATAGCCGAAATTAGAAAATTGCAACCAGAAAACTATTTGATTTGTATTCGTGATATTTATAATGACCATGAATTTGATTTAAATCATATCAAAGACGAAGTACATCGAGATGAAATACTACATTTAATAAGGAATTATAAGCCGAATAAAATAAAAACATCTGCCCTGAAGATAACGATAGTGTTGACAGATCAACTTCCAGTTCATTGCGTGCCGCCACATTCCCCCTCCCCCCCGCGCAGAGACGGTTAGATAAACAAAGGATATGCCTTTATCCATTTTTTGGAGTAATTCCACTTTTTGTTTGATGGACATCGAAACATACTTTCGTTTTCGTAGATCCTTTGGGAGCTCCAGCATCGGAAATTCTATTTGACATAATCGAAAGTTCAAGCTTACTTTTATAAAATTGCTCTTACAGTCTACAAAAAATAATAAGCCGGATCCAATTCGAAGATTAAGGAACAACGCAATCATCAACATTAACTGAAATAGACAATTAGATAATTTTATCTTATACCGTCCGTTATACATTAAACGCGCAGTGAAAACGTATTCTGCGCTTGTGCACACGCAAATGCGCAGTCGTAAAGGTCTTACACGCACGCTTAAACGCATATGCGCATGCGTCAACGCGGCGCATGCGCAGAAAGTTTTTAGCTTTGAGGTCCGGATTATAGATCATTCCAGATTATGGGTGTCCGAATTAACGACTTTTGACTGTATTAATATGAGTGGAAAAATAAATTATATTTATTATTAGGTGCCAAACGAATACAATTAATATGGCTTATTATTATTTATTTTCTATATTTTGAACTGAAATTTCGTCATTAAATCTTGTAATATAGTTTAGTTCTGCATAGTTTTTTTTTCTCTCATTGTAAACTAATTCTGTAAATTGAACTGTCATTTAAAATTTAAAAAAAAAGTTAATCGTTTTCCATGGTTGAGGTTAATGCTCATTTTCTTAATAAATATTGAATTGCTCATATTTTAAATTACAAGTCTAATTTTTCT